CATTCTATTCAACAGGGGAGTAAGGGAGTTAGATGTCTACACATTCTATTGAACAGAGGAAGTAAGGTGAGTTTGATGTCTACACATTCTATTAAACAGGGGTAGTAAGGTGAGTTTGATGTCTACACATTCTATTCAACAGGGGAGTAAGGGAGTTAGATGTCTACACATTCTATTGAACAGAGGAAGTAAGGTGAGTTTGATGTCTACACATTCTATTCAACAGGGGAGTAAAGTGAGATTGATGTTTACACATTCTTTTGAACAGGGGAGTAAGGTGAGTTTGATGTCTACACATTCTATTGAACAGAGGAAGTAAGGTGAGTTTGATGTCTACACATTCTATTGAACAGAGGAAGTAAGGTGAGTTTGATGTATACACATTCTATTCAACAGGGGAGTAAGGGAGTTGGATGTCTACACATTCTATTCAACAGGGGAGTAAGGGAGTTAGATGTCTACACATTCTATTGAACAGAGGAAGTAAGGTGAGTTTGATGTCTACACATTCTATTAAACAGGGGTAGTAAGGTGAGTTTGATGTATACACATTCTATTCAAAAGGGGAGTAAGGTGAGATTGATGTCTACACATTTTATTAGACAGGGGAGTAAGATGTCTACACATTCTATTGAACAGGGGAGTAAGGTGAGATTGATGTCTACACCTTCTATTGAACAGAGGAAGTAAGGTGAGATTGATGTCTACACATTCTATAAACAGGGGAGTAAGGCAAGTTTGATGTCTTCAACTAGAGGACAATCATGTTTCACCGTAACACATATTTGTTCAGCAGAAGGAGATACTATGTCTCTTTGATCCCATCTTGGTTGCTTCAATCAGACCCATCCACCAACACAAGTTCCCCTGCCACACCGGGTCAGCAGGGGGCTGGACTAATATCAACAGGTCATCCATCCTAATAGCATGAATAGACTGGGAACAAATCATACCTAATTCATTTAGTTTGCCAACTCAGGTTTATACTGAAATACTTGGAAAACTCATAATTGGACTTTTGTAATATTACACAAAATGGCAACCAAATCAAATGAAGACGTCCTGTGTAGAAGCAAGGGAATCAAACAACGATGTCGTGGTTCGGTTTCAATCTCAATCGAAGTGTTTCAAGGTGGACTTGAGTGAGTGAGTGAGTGAGTATGGTTTTACGCAGCTTTTAGCAATATTCCAGCAATATCACGGCGGGGGACACCAGAAATGGGCTTCACACATTGTACCCATGTCGGGAATCGAACCCGGGTCTTCGGCGTGGCGAGCGAAGGCTTTAACCACTAGGCTACCCAACCGCCCCTAAAGTGGACTTGAGAACAAAACCACATCATGTCTGATCCTGCGTCTCCATCATGTGTCAGTAGATACCAACAGGAACTTATCAGTGGAGGATTCCACTCACGAAGAAATGATACCTCACTGAATACAGTGGGTCTCCATCGTGTGTCAGTAGATACCAACAGGAACTTATCAGTGGAGGATTCCACTCACAATGAATGATACCTCACTGATTACAGTGGGTCTCCATCGTGTGTCAGTAGATACCAACAGGAACTTATCAGTGGAGGATTCCACTCACAATGAAATGATACCTCACTGATTACAGTGCGTCTCCATCGTGTGTCAGTAGATACCAACAGGAACTTATCAGTGGAGGATTCCACTCACGAAGAAATGATCCCTCACTGATTACAGTGGGTCTCCATCGTGTGTCAGTAGATACCAACAGGAACTTATCAGTGGAGGATTCCACTCACGAAGAAATGATCCCTCACTGATTACAGTGGGTCTCCATCGTGTGTCAGTAGATACCAACAGGAACTTATCAGTGGAGGATTCCACTCACGAAGAAATGATCCCTCACTGATTACAGTGGGTCTCCATCGTGTGTCAGTAGATACCAACATGAACTTATCAGTGGAGGATTCCACTCACGAAGAAATGATCCCTCACTGATTACAATGGGTCAGTAGATACCAACAGGAACTTATCAGTGGAGGATTCCACTCACAATGAAATGATCCCTCACTGATTACAGTGGGTCTCCATCGTGTGTCAGTAGATACCAACAGGAACTTATCAGTGGAGGATTCCACTCACAATGAAATGATCCCTCACTGATTACAGTGCGTCTCCATCGTGTGTCAGTAGATACCAACAGGAACTTATCAGTGGAGGATTCCACTCACGAAGAAATGATACCTCACTGAATACAGTGGGTCTCCATCGTGTGTCAGTAGATACCAACAGGAACTTATCAGTGGAGGATTCCACTCACAATGAATGATACCTCACTGATTACAGTGGGTCTCCATCGTGTGTCAGTAGATACCAACAGGAACTTATCAGTGGAGGATTCCACTCACAATGAAATGATACCTCACTGATTACAGTGCGTCTCCATCGTGTGTCAGTAGATACCAACAGGAACTTATCAGTGGAGGATTCCACTCACGAAGAAATGATCCCTCACTGATTACAGTGGGTCTCCATCGTGTGTCAGTAGATACCAACAGGAACTTATCAGTGGAGGATTCCACTCACGAAGAAATGATCCCTCACTGATTACAGTGGGTCTCCATCGTGTGTCAGTAGATACCAACATGAACTTATCAGTGGAGGATTCCACTCACGAAGAAATGATCCCTCACTGATTACAGTGGGTCTCCATCGTGTGTCAGTAGATACCAACATGAACTTATCAGTGGAGGATTCCACTCACGAAGAAATGATCCCTCACTGATTACAGTGGGTCTCCATCATGTGTCAGTAGATACCAACATGAACTTATCAGTGGAGGATTCCACTCACGAAGAAATGATCCCTCACTGATTACAGTGGGTCTCCATCGTGTGTCAGTAGATACCAACATGAACTTATCAGTGGAGGATTCCACTCACGAAGAAATGATCCCTCACTGATTACAGTGGGTCTCCATCGTGTGTCAGTAGATACCAACATGAACTTATCAGTGGAGGATTCCACTCACGAAGAAATGATCCCTCACTGATTACAGTGGGTCTCCATCATGTGTCAGTAGATACCAACATGAACTTATCAGTGGAGGATTCCACTCACGAAGAAATGATCCCTCACTGATTACAATGGGTCAGTAGATACCAACAGGAACTTATCAGTGGAGGATTCCACTCACAATGAAATGATCCCTCACTGATTACAGTGGGTCTCCATCGTGTGTCAGTAGATACCAACAGGAACTTATCAGTGGAGGATTCCACTCACAATGAAATGATACCTCACTGATTACAGTGGGTCTCCATCATGTGTCAGTAGATACCAACAGGAACTTATCAGTGGAGGATTCCACTCACGAAGAAATGATCCCTCACTGATTACAGTGCGTCTCCATCGTGTGTCAGTAGATACCAACAGGAACTTATCAGTGGAGGATTCCACTCACAATGAAATGATACCTCACTGATTACAGTGGGTCTCCATCGTGTGTCAGTAGATACCAACATGAACTTATCAGTGGAGGATTCCACTCACGATGAAATGATACCTCACTGATTACAATGTGTCAGTAGATACCAACAGGAACTTATCAGTGGAGGATTCCACTCACAATGAAATGATCCCTCACTGATTACAGTGGGTCTCCATCGTGTGTCAGTAGATACCAACAGGAACTTATCAGTGGAGGATTCCACTCACAATGAAATGATACCTCACTGATAACAGTGGGTCTCCATTGTGTGTCAGTAGATACCAACAGGAACTTATCAGTGGAGGATTCCACCCACAATGAATGATACCTCACTGATTACAGTGGGTCTCCATCGTGTGTCAGTAGATACCAACAGGAACTTATCAGTGGAGGATTCCACTCACAATGAATGATACCTCACTGATTACAGTGCGTCTCCATCGTGTGTCAGTAGATACCAACAGGAACTTATCAGTGGAGGATTCCACTCACAATGAAATGATACCTCACTGATTACAGTGCGTCTCCATCGTGTGTCAGTAGATACCAACAGGAACTTATCAGTGGAGGATTCCACTCACAATGAATGATACCTCACTGATTACAGTGCGTCTCCATCATGTGTCAGTAGATACCAACAGGAACTTATCAGTGGAGGATTCCACTCACAATGAATGATACCTCACTGATTACAGTGCGTCTCCATCATGTGTCAGTAGATACCAACAGGAACTTATCAGTGGAGGATTCCACTCACGAAGAAATGATCCCTCACTGATTACAGTGGGTCTCCATCGTGTGTCAGTAGATACCAACAGGAACTTATCAGTGGAGGATTCCACTCACGAAGAAATGATACCTCACTGATTACAATGTGTCAGTAGATACCAACAGGAACTTATCAGTGGAGGATTCCACTCACAATGAAATGATACCAAACTGATTACTGTGGGTCTCATGATACAAAATTACAGAAAAAGACTTGGAGCAACTAACAAGTTCAAAATGTACGTCATGCGGGTCATTTAACAAAAATAAGAAACTAACCCAACAGCTTACCTCTAGTTTCTTGTAGGTTATTCGCAAAATTATCCATTTTAATTTGGAAAATGTAAAACAATGTTGGTTTGTCAGTCAAAAAAAGAAAGAAGTGAACATGTTGTTTCTTGCAGGTTATTCTCAAAATATTCTAATTCCACCACATAGAACCTGTCATGAACATTGGATACACTGCCTTCCCATGTTGGGAGCAATGCACAGATAGGACATCACATTATAACTAGCAGTGACAAAACTCCTCAAAACAATCCTTGCTGCTAATATTAATTCCCATGGACTGCCACGACACCAGAATTTATATCACACAAATCCCAGGACGCCAGGAGTAGGCATCAGCAGCACTTGGTCACTGCCATTGTATGTGCACAGTTCAACTAGAGAGCAAGCACTTGGTTGTTCAGGAGTAGGCATCAGCAGCACTTGGTCACCGCTATTGTATGTGCACAGTTCAACTAGAGAGCAACCTCTTGATTGTTCAGGAGATGGGGAAAGGAGAGATGTGGGCTTGATATCAGCATTTATTCTTAAATATAAAGGAGCTCAATTATTTTTCCCCACACAGTCACTCAATTATTTTAAAAAATTAAATACAAATACTGGTTTTTTTAACTCTTGTCTGCAAGGGCACGTTATTTCTATACTGACTATGCGAGACATATTTTATGTTTTTCCAGCAAAACAGGGGCTTTTTTAGACATAATCCCATCTCTGCTAAAATCAAATGGCTGCTCTCTTATAAACACAGAGCAAGCTGGAGAAGTTCAGTCCTATTCAGTTCAACATCAGGTAAACTCAGAAGAACCAAAACTTTAACTGCTTAAATACATTAACTCAATAACTCATATCATCATCATCATCATCACGAGGTAGGTCATGTTTGAAACTCATATTAAAGTGCAGGGAACATTTCAAAATTACTCCCCTGTCCATAAGTAACAAGTTCTGTTAAATGAATCTTACTCAAAAGAAGTTAAGGACCACTCGGTTCTTTCCTAGCATGGTTAATCTGTGATGCCATGGAACCATCAGGGGCTCCCTAACTTCTTATGAGTAGTATAACTAGCCCTGTTGAAAATGTCCTAAGTCCAGACGAAAAGGTTATATCCCTGTTAAAAAAGTTACCAGTCAAGATAAAACATTACTGGCCAAGTTGGAAACGCAATTAACCAGCTGAAAAGTGACTGCATTTTGACAACGGGAAGTCTGGGCTCATTATAGTGAGTATTTACAAAAAGCATTTTGACACATACATAAATAAATAATCAGATCTCATTGGCTAAAGAAGTCACATGCCACACTGAGGCCTTTTCAAAGGAAGAAATTGGACACGGAAGACGGCTAGTTGAATGTCGCACAGAACATGGAATGTTTCAGGACGTTCTGTGACATTCAGGGTGGACCAACTGAACTAAATCCAACTATACTGCTCAACTTTGGATAGGAATATTCTGAGTGTCCGGGTGGGACAACGGGACTTCTTGTTGGGAGATGTTGCCACACAAATAGTACTCAACATTGCCATGGCCATGACACATTCACGGCATCATTACAAGGTAAAACAATAATTAAGTACATATTCCCTTAGTCTGGAGCCCTAAGTTTTGTTATAGTTAGAAATACTAAAGTATTCCATTGAAAGTTAAGTAATATTGTTCAAAATGAATTTCAGTCTTTTTTACAAAAGAATTTGGGAGAAACAATTTTCTAGCTTTGAGTGAGTGAGTGAGTTTGAGTTCACATCGCTTTTAGCAATATTCCAGCAATATCACAGCGGGGGACACCAGAAATGGGCTTCACACATTGTACCCATGTCGGGAATTGAACCTGGGTCTTCAGCATGATGAGCGAACACTTTTACCACTAGGCTACCCGACCGCCCCCACTAGCTTTGAACCAGTAGACTAGTGACCATGATGAACACTGATTTTACTGCATTTCCCATGTTGGGTGAGTGAGTGAGTGAGTGAGTGAGTGTTAAAAGCCAAATGTCTTGTAATCCTGCCTGGAGCAGGTCAGCCATAAATGTACTATCCACAAAAGGTAACCATGGTTACCCACACACGTTCTATCCCCATTCAGTAACCATGGTAACCCATTATTTACTATCCCCATTCAGTAACCATAGTCACCCTTCTATGTTCTTTCCAAATTCAGAAACCATGGTAACTCATCCATTTACTATCCCCATTCAGTAACTATGGTCATCCATCCATGTTCTATTCACATTCAGTAACCATGGACACCCGATCCACAATTCAGCTGCCTTTCATGACAAGCAAATGTTCTGTAGTTCTGCAATGCAGTCTCCATGGCAACAAGCACATGTACTGTAGTTCTGCTCTGTAGCCTCCATGGCAACAAGGATGTTTACTGTAGCTCTGTACTGGAGGCCATGGCAACAATATATGAGAGATTTAGCTCCTCACTTGTGCCTCCATGGCAACAGTGTATGAGGGTTGTACTCTATGCTTGTGTCCCCATGGCAACAGTGTATTTGAGCTGTCCAGTGAGCACAAGAAGCCTTGGCGTAAAACCTTAAAATCTGGCACAAGGGACAGTTAACTGTAAAATCTGGATTGACTACTGTCATGACGACTCTTCTTCCTGTTCTGCCTGGGACGTTCTGCGGCTGTTGTCCTCCTGTTCTGCCCGGGACGTTCTGCGGCTGTTGTCCTCCTGTTCTGCTCGGGGCAGATGGTGGTGGTTGTCCTGCACTGCTCGGGGCAGATGGTGGTGGTTGTCCTGCACTGCTCGGGGTGTACCTCGGTGGTTGTTCTCCGTCTCCATCAGCATCTGCAGCTGTTGTCTGGCACTGGCCAGGAACAGATCCAGACTCGCCAGGTGGCGCCGACGTAATATGGAGTCATTCTGGAGAACAAACATGCCGTGAAATTCAAGGTAATAACGCAGTCCATCTGACGCGGAGGAACAAAACCAGTACAGATCCAATGCCCATTTCCCAGGAATACATCAACAACAAGACAACCTACAGCTAATATTGAGACCATGAGACAGTATATATAAGTTTCAATAATTGTCATAAACAAATGAAAATCAGTTCTGTTAGGACTTCACTGTTAATTTCTTCTCCAAACTTCACCTTGTTTGAAGAAACATGTGGGTATTCATCCACACAATGAATGCTTCATGGCCTACTTATGAGGTTAAAATGACAGCGAATGTGTGCACCAATGTTTTGTTTGTTTGTTTGTTTGTTTGTTTGTTTGTTTGTTGTTTAACGCCAGAGTCAGCAATATTTCAGCTATATGACGGCGGTCTGTACATAATCGAGTCTGGATCAGACAATCCAGTGATTGGCATCACGAGCATCGATCTATACACCTGGGATCTAATCACATCAACCAAGATACAGAGACTTACCACCCGTCAGTCACCTCTTACGAAAAGCGCAGGTTGCTGAAGACCTACTCTAACCCTTCCGGAACTTCACGGGTTGTGTGCACCAATGAAAACCGATGTAATATTTACTGAAAGGGTAAAAAGGTTTGGGATCAAGAATATTTTTGGGGTTATTTTTATGAAATTGTGTGCTTAGTCTTCAGTACCCAAAAATATCCCCCGAAATATTCATGATCCCCAACTTTTTTTCCGTTCAGGATACATATATGGACTATTATCCTGATTGGTTCACACATTAGCTGCCATGCTCCTACTGGTATGGCGGTAAAGGAGACCCACAGTCAGTCATGTCTCACAAGGGAACCACCTTATCCTCAGTCAACCATTACGAACAGCAGGGACTGAGGACAGACTCTTCCCACGAAGCAAGTAGTGGCCACTCACCTGTCGCTGTTCCTGGATGTACGACTGGATTTCCTCCCGGGAAGCCTTCTGTGTGTCTCTTACACTCTCTCGTCCCCGCTCCCTCTCCTCCTCCATTGCTGTCGACAGCAACATCTGCAACATAAGGGCAACTTAAACCACAGCATCCACACCAGATGGCGGCTCTACTAAGCTTTGGTGACAAATAATTGCTGACATCAGAGTTCTCCGGAAGGTAGAATTGTGCTAGATCTGTTGCCTTTTCAATCTCTTACATTGCATCAGTGTTTGTTTGTTTGTTTGTTGCTTAACGCCTCACTCAGCATAATTTCAGCTACATGATGGCAGTACGTAAATAATCAAGTCCGGGCCAGACAGTCCAGTGATTGACATCATGAGCATTGATCTACGCATTTGGGATACGATGACATGCATCAACCAAGTCAGCGAGTCTGAACGCCTGATCCTGTTAGTCGCCTCTTTTGACAAGCATACATTCACAATCTAAGCATGGGTTGCTGAAGACCTATTCTAACCTGGATCTTACAGTGCAGTTCCTCTGCCTGGCTACTCAAGGAGTTTGTCAGGGAGTAAGTGAGTGTAGCTGTGTTGAACTGTGTGCTGCTGTGTGTAGCTATGTTTAGCTGTGTGTATCTGTGTGTAGTTGTGTGTAGGTGTGTGTGTGTAGCTATGTGTAGGTGTGTGTAGGTGTGTGCAGCTGTGTGCAGGTGTGTGTGTAGCTATGTGTAGCTGTGTGTACGGCACTGGAAATTGGCACTAGTCCTATTGACCTTGCCTAACTGCCCAATAGTTAAGGTATCCCAAGGACTAGTAGAAATTGGCCATTATTAAGGGTTTTGCTATATGTTATCATTGTAAGGACTAGTGGACTAAAACAGTTAGTTTCAAACCCTGGTGTAGCTATTTGCGTAGCTGTATGTAGGTGTGTGTAGCTGAGTGTGTGTAGCTGTGCAGCAGTGTGTAGCTGTGTGTAGCCATGTGTAGCTATACGAAGGTGTGTGTAGCTGTGTGAAGTTGTGTGTATTTAGCTGTGTATGTGTAGCTATGTGTGTGTAGCTATCTGTAGCTGTGTGTAGCTATCTGTACCTATGTGTGTGTAGCTGTGTGTAGCTGTGTATGTGTAGCTGTGTGTAGCTATGTGTAGCTGTGTATGTGTAGCTGTGTATGTGTAGCTGTGTGTATGTGTAGCTGTGTATGTGTAGCTGTGTATGTGTAGCTGTGTGTATGTGTAGCTGTGTATGTGTAGCTGTGTATGTGTAGCTGTGTGTATGTGTAGCTGTGTTTGTGTAGCTGTGTATGTGTAGCTGTGTGTATGTGTAGCTGTGTTTGTGTAGCTGTGTATGTGTAGCTGTGTATGTGTAGCTGTGTGTATGTGTAGCTGTGTTTGTGTAGCTGTGTATGTGTAGATGTGTTTGTAGCTATGTGTGTGTAGCTGTGTGCAGCTATCTGTAGCCGTGTGTGTGTAGCTGTGTGTGTGTGTAGCTATCTGTACCTATGTGCAGCTATCTGTACCTATGTGTGTGTAGCCGTGTGTAGCTGTGTGTAGCCGTGTGTGTGCAGCGTCTGACCTGCTGCCTTGTCCTCTCCTCGTCAATGACGACCTTCACATCTTGAGAACATCTCTCCTTCACATCACGTGCAACGTCCGCAAACTTCTCCTGCAGGGAGAAGGACTCATTTCAACATCACAACACAGAGGCACTACCAGATCCACTCATGCAGAATACGGCAAATAATTTAGAAAGGTTGTCTTTTATTCCTGAAACTAAATTTCATTATGAAAGCAGTAATCTCAAACAGATCAATGTGGGAAGGGATGTTTGACAGTAAACATCCACTCTTTTCACCACCATATCACAGCAGGGGACACCAGAAAGGAGTTTCACAACCATATCACAGCAGGGGACACCAGAAAGGAGTTTCACAACCATATCACAGCAGGGGACACCAGAAAGGAGTTTCACAACCATATCACAGCAGGGAACAGCAGAAAGGAGTTTCACAACCATATCACAGCAGGGAACACCAGAAAGGAGTTTCACAACCATATCACAGCAGGGGACACCAGAAAGGAGTTTCACAACCATATCACAGCAGGGAACACCAGAAAGGAGTTTCACAACCATATCACAGCAGGGAACACCAGAAAGGAGCTTCACAACCATATCACAGCAGGGAACACCAGAAAGGGGTTTCACAACCATATCACAGCAGGGAACACCAGAAAGGAGCTTCACAACCATATCACAGCAGGGAACACCAGAAAGGAGCTTCACAACCATATCACAGCAGGGGACACCAGAAAGGGGTTTCACAATTGCACCAAGTGGGGAATCCAACCCAGGCTTTGCCACGACAAGCACCACGAGGCTACTCTTGGCCTACACTCACACAGAACTCCATTTAGCTGAGCAGAATTCAAAATATGTTCCTTTAAATGATTTCTTAACCAGTCTTGTCAGGACACAAGTTTCATTCACAGATAAGTACCTGTTCCTTCTTCAACGTCCGAGCTGCCTTCTCTTGTTCTTCTGTCATGGCCGCCTCCATGAGTCTCTTGCTGCTGTCCCTCTCAGTCTAAACAAATAAGATAAACTCCAGCAAACTTTTCAGTCAATTTATATTTACTCTTCAACATTAGGTCAGTTCATATTCTTACAAAACTATTGGAACAACTTTTCGAATTGTGTAACTATGTTTAATTAACTTGAAATGACTTGACATGTATCTGTTTCCATGGCAACATCAAGTACTTTATGTATGCTAAAACTTTAAAGCAATAGGACACATTCAGTACTGCACTGCTTCACCTGGACGGCTAATGCATGCTTTACCTGGATGGCTAGTGCAGGCTTTACCTGGATGGCTAATGCATGCTTTACCTGGATGGCTAGTGCAGGCTTTACCTGGATGGCTAATGCATGCTTTACCTGGATGGCTAGTGCAGGCTTTACCTGGATGGCTAGTGCATGCTTTACCTGGATGGCTAATGCATACTTTTCCTGGGTGTCTAATGCAGGCTTTACCTGGATGGCTAATGCATGCTTTACCTGGATGGCTAATGCATGCTTTACCTGGACGGCTAATGCATGCTTTACCTGGATGGCTAATGCATGCTTTACCTGGATGGCTAGTGCAGGCTTTACCTGGATGGCTAATGCATGCTTTACCTGGATGGCTAGTGCAGGCTTTACCTGGATGGCTAATGCATGCTTTACCTGGATGGCTAGTGCAGGCTTTACCTGGATGGCTAGTGCATGCTTTACCTGGATGGCTAATGCATGCTTTACCTGGGTGTCTAATGCAGGCTTTACCTGGATGGCTAATGCATGCTTTACCTGGATGGCTAATGCATGCTTTACCTGGGTGTCTAATGCATGCTTTACCTGGATGGCTAATGCATGCTTTACCTGGATGGCTAGTGCAGGCTTTACCTGGATAGCTAATGCACGCTTTACTTGGATGGCTAAAGCAGGCTTTACCTGGATGGCTAATGCATGCTTTACCTGGATGGCTAGTTCAGGCTTTACCTGGATGGCTAGTGCAGGCTTTACCTGGTTGTCTAATGCATGCTTTACCTGGGTGTCTAATGCATGCTTTACCTGGATGGCTAGTGCAGGCTTTACCTGGATGGCTAATGCATGCTTTACCTGGATGGCTAGTGCAGGCTTTACCTGGGTGGCTAATGCATGCTTTACCTGGGTGTCTAATGCAGGCTGTACCTGGATGGCTAATGCATGCTTTACCTGGATGGCTAATGCATGCTTTACCTGGATGACTAGTGCAGGCTTTACCTGGATGGCTAATGCATGCTTTACCTGGATGGCTAGTGCAGGCTTTACCTGGATGGCTAATGCAAGCTTTACCTGGATGGCTAATGCATGCTTTACCTGGATTGCTAATGCATGCTTTACCTGGATGGCTAATGCATGCTTTACCTGGATGGCTAGTGCAGGCTTTACCTGGGTGGCTAATGCATGCTTTACCTGGGTGTCTAATGCAGGCTGTACCTGGATGGCTAATGCATGCTTTACCTGGATGGCTAATGCATGCTTTACCTGGATGACTAGTGCAGGCTTTACCTGGATGGCTAATGCATGCTTTACCTGGATGGCTAGTGCAGGCTTTACCTGGATGGCTAATGCAAGCTTTACCTGGATGGCTAATGCATGCTTTACCTGGATTGCTAATGCATGCTTTACCTGGGAGTCTAATGCAGGCTTTACCTGGATGGCTAATGCAAGCTTTACCTGGATGGCTAATGCATGCTTTACCTGGATGGCTAATGCATGCTTTACCTGGGTGTCTAATGCAGGCTTTACCTGGATGGCTAATGCAGGCTTTACCTGGATGGCTAATGCATGCTTTACCTGGATGGCTAGTGCAGGCTTTACCTGGATGGCTAATGCATGCTTTACCTGGATGGCTAGTGCAGGCTTTACATGGGTGTCTAATGCATGCTTTACCTGGATGGCTAGTGCATGCTTTACCTGGACGGCTAATGCATGCTTTACCTGGATGGCTAATGCATGCTTTACCTGGGTGTCTAATGCATGCTTTACCTGGATGGCTAATGCATTCTTTACTTGGATGGCTTATGCATGCTTTACCTGGGTGTCTAATGCATGCTTCACCTGGATGGCTAGTGCATGCACTGAATTACCTGGATGTCTAATGCATGCTTTACCTGGATGGCTAGTGCATGCTTTACCTGGACGGCTAATGCATGCTTTACCTGGACGGCTAGTGCATGCACTCCTTTACATGGACGGATAATGCATGCTTTACCTGGATGGCTAATGCATGCTTTACCTGGGTGTCTAATGCATGCTTTACCTGGACGGCTAATGCATGCTTTACCTGGGTGTCTAATGCATGCTTTACCTGAATGGCTAGTGCATGCTTTACCTGGATGTCTAATGAATGCTTTACCTGGATGTCTAATGCATGCTTTACCTGGATTTCTAATGCATGCTTTACCTGCATGTCTAATGCATGCTTTACCTGGATGGCTAATGCACTGCTTTACCTGGACGACTTATGCATGCTTTACCTGGACAGCTAATGTATGCACTTCTTTACCTGGACGGCTAATGCATGCTTTACCTGGACAGCTAATGTATGCACTGCTTCACCTGGACGGCTAATGGATGCTTTACCTGGACGACTTATGTATGCACTGCTTTACCTGGGTGTCTAATGCATGCTTTACCTGGATGGCTAATGCACTGCTTTACCTAGACAGCTAATGTATGCACTGCTTTACCTGGGTGTCTAATGCATGCTTTACCTGGACGACTTATGTATGCACTGCTTTACCTGGGTGTCTAATGCATGCTTTACCTGGGTGTCTAATGCATGCTTCACCTGGGTGTCTTATGCATGCTTTACCTGGGTGTCTTATGCATGCTTTACCTGGGTGTCTAATGCATGCTTTACCTGGATGGCTAATGCACTGCTTTACCTAGACAGCTAATGTATGCACTGCTTTACCTGGGTGTCTAATACATGCTTTACCTAGACGGCTAATGCATGCTTTACCTGGGTGTCTTATGCATGCTTTACCTGGGTGTCTAATGCATGCTTTACCTGGATGTCTAATGCATGCTTTACCTGGATGTCTAATGCATGCTTTACCTGGATGTCTAATGCATGCTCTACCTGGATGTCTAATGCATGCTTTACCTGGACAGCTAATGCATGCTTCACCTGGGTGTCTAATGCATGCTTCACCTGGGTGTCTAATGCATGCTTCACCTGGGTGTCTAATGCATGCTTCACCTGGGTGTCTAATGCATGCTTCACCTGGACGGCTAATGCATGCTTTACCTGGGTGTCTAATGCATGCTTTACCTGGACGGCTAATGCAGGCTTTACCTGGGTGTCTAATGCATGCTTTACCTGGATGTCTAATGCATGCTTTACCTGGATGTCTAATGCATGCTTTACCTGGATGTCTAATGCATGCTTTACCTGGATGTCTAATGCATGCTTTTCCTGGACGGCTAATGCATGCTTCACCTGGACGGCTAATGCATGCTTCACCTGGGTGTCTAATGCATGCTTCACCTGGGTGTCTAATGCATGCTTCACCTGGGTGTCTAATGCATGCTTTTCCTGGACGGCTAATGCATGCTTCACCTGGACGGCTAATGCATGCTTTACCTGGGTGTCTAATGCATGCTTTACCTGGACGGCTAATGCAGGCTTTACCTGGGTGTCTAATGCATGCTTTACCTGGATGTCTAATGCATGCTTTACCTGGATGTCTAATGCATGCTTTACCTGGATGTCTAATGCATGCTTTACCTGGATGTCTAATGCATGCTTTTCCTGGACGGCTAATGCATGCTTCACCTGGACGGCTAATGCATGCTTCACCTGGGTGTCTAATGCATGCTTCACCTGGGTGTCTAATGCATGCTTCACCTGGGTGTCTAATGCATGCTTCACCTGGGTGTCTAATGCATGCTTCACCTGGGTGTCTAATGCATGCTTTACCTGGATGGCTAATGCATGCTTTACCTGGGTGTCTAATGCATGCTTTACCTGGGTGTCTAATGCAGGCTTTACCTGGATGGCTAATGCATGCTTTACCTGGGTGTCTAATGCAGGCTTTACCTGGATGGCTGTGTGTATTTCTGCCGTCTGCTTGTCTTGCTCCTCCTTCAGGAACGCCTGAAACTGCTCCTGCTGCTGTATACGTGCCGCCTCCATCATGTCACGGGACCGTTCTTCCTCACTCTTCAAGTCGGCCTCATGCTGGTGCCGCAAGTCTGATGCCTAGAGTGTGAGAGGCAAGGAGCTTCACACTTTGCTCGGCACATCACTCCATTTACGGGGAGATTTCCTCTATTATTTTCATCACAGCATGTACAGTAGCAGAAATAGGTCTTAATCAACATTACAGTAACCTGTTTCTTCCCTTTGACATTTTACAAACTTCTACCTTATTAAGAAAAAAATACACCTGCCTATGCACATTATGTTTTCATCAATTATTGTCAATTCCCATGTCACTTTCCTACTGATCACATCTCATTAACACTCAACTCGGAGAAGATACTGAGCATGACGAATGAAGGGAGATAACTCTACCTGTGTTTCCATTATCTGCTGGTAGCACACGGCCTGGTTTTTGAGAGCCTCCTGTAAGTGTTGGAGGCTGACCTCTTGCTGTTCCAACACGGCAGCCCGGCTCGACTCCTGGCAACAGTTTAGGGGTTGAGAGTTAGTAGTGTTTTTTAAGGCAGTGTAAGTAGCATGACATTCATCATGATGAGAACACTGAACTAACAAGTTGTCAATGTCCCAGCTCCACAACAGCTGATCTGTGTTCATTCCCTGTGTCAATGTCCCAACCTACAAGAAATGATCCATGTTCAATCCCCGTGTCAATGTTGCAGCCCTACAACGGCTGATCTGTGTTCAATCCCTGTGTCAATGTTGCAGCCCTACAACAGCTGATTTGTGTTCAATCCCTGTGACAATGTCCCAGCCTACAACAGCTGATCTGTGTTCAATCCCTGTGTCAATGTCCCAGCCCCATAACAGCTGATCTGTGTTCAATCTCTGTGTCAATGTCCCAGCCTACAACAGCTGATCTGTGTTCAATCCCTGTGTCAATGTCCCAGCCCTACAACAGCTGATCTGTGTTCAATCCCTGTGTCAATGTCCCAGCCCTACAACAGCTGATCTGTGTCTAATCCTTGTGTCAATGTCCCAGCCCTACAACAGCTGATCTGTGTTCAATCCCTGTGTCAATGTCCCAGCCCCATAACAGCTGATCTGTGTTCAATCTCTGTGTCAATGTCCCAGCCTACAACAGTTGATCTGTGTTCACTCCCTGTGTCAATGTCCCAGCCCTACAACAGCTGATCTGTGTTCAATCCCTGTGTCAATGTCCCAGCCCTACAACAGCTGATCTGTCTTCAATCCCTGTGTCAGTATCCCAGCCCTACAACAGCTGATCTGTGTTCAATCCCTGTGTCAATGTCCCAGCCCTACAACAGCTGATCTGTGTTCAATCCCTGTGTCAGTATCCCAGCCCTACAACAGGTGATCTGTGTCTAATCCCTGTGTCAATGTCCCAGCCTACAACAGCTGATCTGTGTTCAATCCCTGTGTCAATGTCCCAGCCCCATAACAGCTGATCTGTGTTCAATCTCTGTGTCAATGTCCCATCCCCATAACAGCTGATCTGTGTTCAATCCCTGTGTCAATGTCCCAGTCTACAACAGCTGATCTGTGTTCAATCCCTGTGTCAATGTCCCAGCCCTACAACAGCTGATCTGTGTTCAATCCCTGTGTCAATGTCCCAGCCGTACAACAGCTGATCTGTGTTCAATCCCTGTGTCAATGTCCCAGCCTACAACAGCTGATCTGTGTTCAATCCCTGTGTCAATGTCCCAGCCCTACAACAGCTGATCTGTGTCTAATCCTTGTGTCAATGTCCCAGCCCTACAACAGCTGATCTGTGTTCAATCCCTGTGTCAATGTCCCAGCCCTACAACAGCTGATCTGTGTTCAATCCCTGTGTCAGTATCCCAGCCCTACAACAGCTGATCTGTGTTCAATCCCTGTGTCAATGTCCCAGCCCTACAACAGCTGATCTGTGTGTAATCCTTGTGTCAATGTACCAGCCCTACAACAGCTGATCTGTGTTCAATCCCTGTGTCAATGTCCCAGCCCTACAACAGCTGATCTGTGTTCAATCCCTGTGTCAGTATCCCAGCCCTACAACAGCTGATTTGTGTTCACTCCCTGTGTCAATGTCCCAGCCCTACAACAGCTGATCTGTGTTCAATCCCTGTGTCAATGTCCCAGCCCTACAACAGCTGATTTGTGTTCACTCCCTGTGTCAATGTCCCAGCCCTACAACAGCTGATCTGTGTTCAATCCCTGTGTCAATGTCCCAGCCCCATAACAGCTGATCTGTGTTCAATCCCTGTGTCAATGTCCCAGCCTACAACAGCTGATCTGTGTTCAATCCCTGTGTCAATGTCCCAGCCCTACAACAGCTGATCTGTGTTCAATCCCTGTGTCAATGTCCCAGCCGTACAACAGCTGAGCTGTGTTCAATCCCTGTGTCAATGTCCCAGCCCTACAACAGCTGATCTGTGTTCAATCCCTGTGTCAATGTCCCAGTCCATAACAGCTGGTCTGTGTTCACTCCCTGTGTCAATGTCCCAGCCCTACAACAGCTGATCTGTGTTTAATCTCTGTGTCAATGTCCCAGCCCTACAACAGCTGATTTGTGTTTAATCCCTGTGTCAATGTCCCAGTCCATAACAGCTGGTCTGTGTTCACTCCCTGTGTCAATGTCCCAGCCCTACAACAGCTGATCTGTGTTTAATCCCTGTGTCAATGTCCCAGCCCTACAACAGCTGATCTGTGTTCAATCCCTGTGTCAATGTCCCAGCCCTACAACAGCTGATCTGTGTTCAATCACTGTGCCAATGTCCCAGCCCTACAACAGCTGGTCCGTGTCTAATCCCTGTGTCAATGTCCCAGCCCACAACAGCTGATCTGTGTTCAATCCCTGTGTCAATGTCCCAGCCCTACAACAGCTGATCTGTGTTCAATCCCTGTGTCAAAGTCCCAGCCCCACAACAGCTGATCTGTGTTCAATCCCTGTGTCAATGTCCCAGCCCTACAACAGCTGATCTGTGTTCAATCCCTGTGTCAATGTTGCAGCCCTACAACAGCTGGTCCGTGTCTAATCCCTGTGTCAATGTCGCAGCCCACAACAGCTGATCTGTGTTCAATCCCTGTGTCAATGTCCCAGCCTACAACAGCTGATCTGTGTTCACTCCCTCTGTCAATGTCCCAGCCTACAACAGCTGATCTGTGTCCAAACCCTGTGTCAATGTCCCAGTCTTCAACAGCTGATCTGTGTTCAATCCCTGTGTCAATGTCCCAGTCTACAACAGCTGATCTGTGTTCAATCCCTGTGTCAATGTCCAAGCCTACAACAGCTGATCTGTGTCCAATACCTGTGTCAATGTCCCAGCCTACAACAGCTGATCTGTGTTTCAATCCCTGTGTCAATGTCCCAGTCTACAACAGCTGATCTGTGTTCAATCCCTGTGTCAATGTCCAAGCCTACAACAGCTGATCTGTGTTCAATCCCTGTGTCAATGTCCAAGCCTACAACAGCTGATCTGTGTTCAATCCCTGTGTCAATGTCCCAGCCCTACAACAGCTGATCGGAGTCATTGTCCTACCTTGTACTGTTCCACAACCACACCCAGAGCATCATGGCCGGCCTTCTCCACCTCCTCCAGTTCCCGACTATGTCGCTCCTGAAAAACATTTCCCACATGACACATGGTGGATCTAAAATGTTGTAGATTTAGATTAGTCCATGATCCTGTAACAAGTTGCCATGCATCCTTTCACGATTTGAGTAGCTTAGGTTTGATGCAGCTCTAACTTTTAACAATATGTCATGGCTGACACACTGTACCCATGTGGGGAATTGGTGCAAGGAATATATGTTGGAACCTCCATACTACCCCACCACAATGTAACCATTTGTATGTTCATGTTGAATGACACACTCGGCAATATTCCAGCTAAACGAGGGAGGTCTGAAAATAATCGAGTCTGGACCAGACAATCCAGTGATTGACACCATGAGCACTGATCCACACAATTAACATATGATGATAGCATCAGCTAAGTCAGCGAGTGTGACCACCCGATCACGTTAGCCACGTCTGATAACAAGTACGGGTTGCTGAAGACATAGTCTACCCAGAATTTTACCCAGGACGAACACAAAGAGAACCCTGACCTGTATCTCCGTGAGCCTAGCCTGCTGTTGCTCCAGGTCTGTCCGGACCCGAATCAGGTCCTCCTCCAGCTGCTGGTTCAGGGCAGACAGGTCTTCCAGGTCCTACAGGAGTGAGAGTGTCAGTGAATGTCTTATATTTCCCCGAGTTGGGACTTTGGCCACGAGTCTTGTAAACTTCTGTTTTGTTTTGTTTGTTGTTTAACGCTGCACTCAGCAATATTCCAGCTATATGACGGCGGTCTGTAAATAATCGAGTCTGGACCAGACAATCCAGTGATTGACAGCATGAGCATCGATCCACGCAATTGGGATCGGTGACATGCATCAACCAAGTCACCGAGCCTGACCACCTGATCCCGTTAGTCGCCTTTTGCGACAAGCATAGTCGCCTTTTACGGCAAGTATGGGTTGCTGAAGACCTATTCTACCCTGGAATCTTCAAGGGTCGTAAAATTCTGTTCAGTCGAGTAAACTCAGTTAATAAAACTCGATATGATAACACTAGAATGAACAAAGAGGAATCCAAGAGCCAGGTTCTGACTAAAAGACACAAACGTATTTGGCAGACTGTATTCCCCAGTGGTGGAGCCGAAAGGTGGGTTCTGGGATGGGCACTCCCCTTTTTTCATATCTGATGATATTTTGAATGCGCATTTCCTACGATGATAACATGTTCATATGTTTGTGGGTAGGCTTTTGACTGGGACCATCCCCCATACATACATTCCATCCCTCCACCCCTACTGAAGTTGAAAATGGCCAAAGTGGAACCCCCCTTTTATAAAATCCTGGATCCACCCCTTGGCAATGGTATGGATATTAGTGAAAATATTTTCACATATAGAGCATAAACAAAAAAAGTAGTCTAAAATAACTGTTTTTACTCAATACCTTCTTTAACTTAGCATTTTCTTCCATCATGGGCTGAACGTCCTCTTCAACCCGAATTGGAGGGGCAACATTTTCATTAACTTCAGCAGCTGGTTCCACCTGCTCGGGGGCAACATCGTCCTGTGGGGCTGGTTGTAGCTCCACCTCTGCTGCAGCACCCCCTGGTGGCAGGTCCGGGCTGGCTTCTCTCATCAAGGGGAGACGATTCCCACCCAGGCCCAGGTCCGGGAGAGGGGCTGGGGAAGAGGGTGGCTGTGCTGCTTCAGGAGAGGTAACACTGCGCGTGGAGGCGTTGAGGGTTCCATCCAGAACATTCTCAGCAATTCGGGCCTGGTCTGCAGCATCTGTGATCTGATCATAGAAAGATATGCAGATCAATGATGTTCTATGATGTATGATGTTTTATGATGAATGTTCCATGATGAATGTCCTATGATGAATGATGTTTTATGTTGAATAATGAGTTATGTTGAATGTTTTATGACTGATCTTTTATGATGAATGATGTTTTTGATTAGTGTTGTTTATGATGAATGTTTTTTTGTTGTTGAATGATGGTTTATGTTGAATGATGTTTGATGTTTAATGATGAATGATTTTTTCCGATGAGTGATGTTTTGATGGCAGTTACCTTTGGGTCCCTGAGGTCTGCTGACAATGTATTTTAATCTTGGGGCCATATATATGTATATGTTTAACTTTAGGCCTATAACATGGATCCCATGACTTTCATGCTTTGGAACACTATTTTCTCTATAGCCTGCATTTTTTTAAACAAAGTTTTGCTAAAGAAAATATCTTCCCCCTTACTTAAAACGATTATAGTGTTAAAAGAAGGTCATAAACTCAGCACATTCGTTATCCCTCATGGTCTGAATTACATAGTTAAACAGGGGAACATGGACTTTCGGGCATTGGTTATGGGCCGTAACCGGATGTCAGGAAATCTGCATGATAAAGGGTGAGTATTCCGTGGGAAGGTCTATCTTCTAGTAGGAACTGTAAGTAGTTGTGTGACCAATAGTCCAAATTGGGGAACTCCAGGAACATCTGGTGTGGAGTAGTCGAAGATAGTGATTGGCAAAGACAGTGTCTGATCTCCAGAAACACCCTTCCATGACTGGTAGATGTGTAGTGCTCTAACAGGACACAGTGATAAATCTACAGTGTCCTCCCTTCCCAGTATGTGGCTAGGGCCAGTAGAAACAACATTTTCTGGGCCATTGTTCAAAACAGGTTTGTGATTGGTAGATGTGTAGTGCTCTAACTGGACACACGGATAAATCTACAGTGTCCTCTCATCCCAGTATGTAGCTAGGGCCATGAGGTTTGTCAGCACCATACCTGTGCTCGTGGGTTTCACTGAAGTGGTAAACGTCTGAGACCTGCATCACTTCGGGCTTTCCTCCCACATTAAGCTGACACGCCACGATATAACTAAAATACCGTTAAAAGCGGCGTTAAACCGAACTCACTCACTCACTCCTTCAGCTGTGGAGCCAAAGGGGGCTATAGCTCCAACACCCACTCACTCACTCCTTCAGCTGTGGAGCCCAGTGAGCTATAGCTCACCTGATCATGATCACTGAGGTCCAAGTTGGCAGGGAAGGATGGCTGGACATCTTGGGCGGGGTTGACGGAGGCGGTGTTGGTGGGACCCCCCGAGATCCCTGACGGGTCCAAGTACTGAGGGAAGCTGTTCTGTGCACACAACAGGTCAGGTTGTCGGAACGTTCCACTTCCTGAAGGATACAAACACAGGCGTTTTCTCTCTGACGTAGTTTATGGATTGTCACAAAACTTAAAAGTAAGAACAGTGAACCTGCCAACACATTTCAGTGAGAAGAACACCCACCACAGCAGAATATTATGGGAAGAGAAGTAACTCTTTGCATAGTCAGGATCAGCTTTCTGCCGATATCAATCATATTATATTTTATATTTCCATTTTGACCAGTGACCCACTAATTTTAAAAACATCAGGGATTTATCAAGACCTGCTCAGAGGCTGATATTCAGCCCATGTCAGCAGCTGATGTCAATGTTATGGATTTGTAGAGGTCACATGTACTTTACAGACTAGTAAGACTCTTCAATGTTTGGTGTTACATTGTTGCATTAAATACAAGGCTAAAATAGCATTAATTTCCCCTAAAATATAATACTGATCAACCAACTATTCCGAAATTACCGTCAAAGTGCACTTAGTTTTGGTATCCTAGCTAAATCCCTGAACGTATCTGTAAATGAGATGATACCAACAGAGGTGCGAGACTTACCGGAAGCAAAGACGGCCCACGGAGACGATCCTGCCTCTGCCTGGTGTCCTGGTTCAGCTACATTAGGAGGAATCGGATCCGCAGCCTGCAACATGAACAGCAATAACTCCAGGGAGGATGTGCGCAGCCCTGTATACATCTTGTACATCCTCCCCCAGGCAAGGGAGATAACTCACTGTACAAGTACAGTTTCCACCCTTGCTGAACTACCGTATTTTCTTGAGTATAGTGCGCACTTTTTTTCGAAAAAACACAGCTGTGTAGAAGGGGGTGCGCATTATACACGAATTATGAGTTTGGATGTTTTTCCCCCCCCATGGAAAAACATTACCGTGAGCACGAAACACCGGAAATACCATGTCAACAATTCCATACTGAAGTACGCAATATAATCATGTAATTACACTGTCTGGCTATAAAAAGTGTTCTTTGTATATCTGGACTTATGTTTGTAACTTATTTCATTAATTTTATTCAAAATTCCTTATAATATTGTTTTTACTAATTTCGCCGAAATCGTGTGTGAAGCGATCGGAAGATTGCACAACTCACCGTTATTAACAGCAACCACGGTCAGAATACCGCTATTGACGCCTTGAAACAAACTTTAGTTGACAGAGAATGGATATATATATCATAAATGACATACTATGACTCGTTAAAAGTCATATTTGTTTTTGTTTGACGATTCTATGTCAACATGAAATTCTCGCGATCACGTGCGCGTGAGCCTTGACGGTGACTGGTCAGACTGGTTCCATGTAAAAAATAATACCCGGCAATAGCGATCAGCTGCTTCGCTTAGGGTTATTATTATTTTAAATATGTTTAGTAAAGGCTGCATATAATTAAGAAAATAATGGAATATATTATTCCTGATAAAAAAAAATAGTTTCAGATACAATTGTTGCCGATCCTTGCATTAGAAATCCTATAAAGTTATATCATTGGGTGTGTCTTGACCGAATCACCGGTCAATTCCAAGAAAACTTGTGTACAGCTGATTGCTGTTTCCGGCTTAGTTTACGAGAAAATACACAAGGTAATCTTAATCCCTAGATATAAAACAATGCCTAGCAGAACAATAAATACTATTTAAACGGTAAATAAACATGTCTGGTGATTTTTTATCTCAAATTTCGAATTTGTACTGACGAAGTTTCTCAGCACCCGTTTGTTTGCCGGACTTCGCTGAAAGGGTACGGTGAAAATATTTTCAGCGCATAAAATTCAAATTTCTTTTTTTCAAAAATATTGAACCCGCTAGAGGGGGGTGCGCATTATACATGGGTGCGCACTATACTCAAGAAAATACGGTAGGCTGGAATTATTGAGTTTTATTTTGCCTGGACTAAAGAGTCCATGCATAGTCCAATCAAAATCATGTAAAGAAATCAAAATCGACATCCAGTTCATAAACTGCCGTGCAGGATTTGCAAAGCATGTGCACTGCCAACTCGGCATTAACAGATACTTTCCAAATATTTTCATGTTTTTAATCAAGGCGCTCACGTGATTTCATGCACTTTGGGAAGTAAGACCTGTTTCAACACAACATAGATTCTGATTATCTTTCAGATGGTCTTGACTGGGCCCTGCCATCTTGTTTGAAGCAAATGCAAGTGATATGAGAGGTGGAATCTGATTGGTCAAAAAGAGGGACATAGAAGGTGTTTAGGTCTTCATGTCAGACAAAGACATGAATCTTGGGGTTCTATAAGATACCACAAACAGTGAGTGTTTTGGTGGACATAATTTACTTACTAGGCAAGATGCCGGAACCACCGAAAGTTGTGACGTCATACACATGATGTTATACAAATAATGTCATACTCAAATGCTGCTAGTAGTGAGACTACTTGTCACAGAAGGGACATTACTTGTAATAGCCACTGGTAGTGCTACGATCGAGCCCAGAAATTCCAGCCTAGTTCGGCAAGGTTACAGTCAATTAACTCCCTTGCCTCGGGAAGATGGAATATATACAGGGTATTAGACAAAATTCATACTGAAAATTACATTTATTTTAGAGATTGAAATGACAGATAAATATCTTTCATTAATGGTTAATATTAAAAATGGGGACCAATCTTAAGTTTAACCTTTAAAAAGTCTTTCATAGGCTTTCAATAAGAAGCATGGGCTTTCAAAGACTTTGCATGCATCCAGCACTGATAACGCTACTTACCTCGAAGCCTCCAAACTCGCCGAAGTCATCTTCATCATCTGCCCCAGGGGCATCAGCTGCTCTCCCATTGGCCTGACAACAAATTGCCACATGTATGTTAGAATGTCAGCCTAATGCTTGAAGTAGTAGTACTACCGGTAGTTGCCTATTTCTTTGGATAGTTATAAGTGCTTATCATAGGTATGTTTGCAGTCTGGTGATAAGTGAGTTCATGGTGAACCAAGATCACCAGCACTGGAAGTCATCATTTGTTGGGTTATTGTTGTTTTGTAGGGCTTTGAACATATTATTGGATATGGCTTTGGCGCTTAATAAATATGTATTATCATTGTATTCAAATTACTATAGTCAATTGTGCAGTGCTCTGTCATCAATGGTCATGTGTGTGCACGTTATTTCAGAATATCATTGCATCAAAACTGCATGAATTAAGAGTCATGTAAAGGCCTGATGAACTTAGGATTATTTGAAATTTCATCAGTACTTTCTTCAAAATATTTTCAGTTAAATTGACAATATTTGTGAATTCCATTATCAACCAATCAGGAAATCAGTTGTCTTTCATCAGGAACATGAACTTCCTATATTCTAAGCCACATACTAGTGTACGTAGTTTTTGTTGGCATGAAACAAAGCATTATGACTTTGATAGATCCTTCATTTATCAAGGATTCTAAACAAACTGCCCTTAGCAACCAAATTGGGAATACAATCCTTACACTGTTCAAAATTTTTAAAGCTCCTCTTTTCCTAAATTCTGAGATATTTAACCATTCAGTGCAATAATGTAAAATTAGGCACTAAACCTTCCTCCTCTTTATTGGTCCTGTTATCAGTGATATAAAAGTTACCTCTATTAAGCTGCAACATTTGTTATAAATACTATAAACACTACATCATGAATTTCGTATTTAAATTTGGGGATTTTGACTGACATTTGCAGCAGTCTTGGGTCTGAACATTGGCCCCTGAGCAGGTCTAGATAAACCGCTCTAGATGTACTGTAATTAACTGGTTAAACCTAGGACATGTGTCATTTGTGATCTACACATGTGTTACCTATAGTGATCACTTCTTGCTAACTCTATGCACTGTAGTGCTTGATGTAGCTTCAGGACCATTTAACTAATATATTCTATAATAACAAGTGTGGTGTAGCAAGCAACCATTTCGACATTTTCAGAAAGACTTCTCTCTATCATTAATGCATAATGTATCATTTATTCTAATCAGTCTATTTTGGCAAGGAAGCAACACTTTTGTATAACGTATCTATGTACAATGATCCACACAATGACTTGAACAGAGTAAGATTATTTTATGACCGCTTCACTTTACAGCAGCACCTATCAAGAAAACACTAATCACAGAGGCACTTGTTCACAAATAACTATCAGTCTAAGCAAAAGAAAGAAGAATAACCTGATCTATATTGTTGCCTGGCCAATCTTTATCCATGATTACTAATCAATCGATTTTTGTAGCTGTCTCTTTGCAGCTGTCATCAAATGACGTTTTACTCAGATGTGTTCACTCCGTATTCGTGGACATGGGCATCGCCATGATGGACAATGTATTGTGGGTAAACAGGTGCACTAAAAATAAACATATCTTCCGTTGTCGTAAATGCCAAGGTCTATGTTATTGCTTAATTTAATTTTCATTTTAGTAAAACATTATTAAGATATAGCATATGGCAGTGTCCATGTTAATCCCTTTTTTTTAAAACGGCTGATGAAAATACACCAATGAAATGACTAGTAATATTTTCTGCGTTTCTCTTGACCTCTGACACCAGCCAAATTTGCATCGGCAAAATTCTGGAATGTTGCTAGCCTTATCAAAATCGCCCTTAATGTTTCAAAGCGAATGAGTAAATTGAAGTGATTACGGGTGCAACGGAATTTCAAATCTTCAATCTAGATTTTGGACCGGTGTCGGTCGTCAGGTTGGTATTTTCAAGCTGGTTTCCTAATTCTGATAATGTAAGATCAGTCACTTCCTGAAATTTGATTTTGCTTTGGCGACGGGTGTTTGGCTTGTATCTAGGTTCCTACTCAGTGTTTTGGGTTTTTACATCAATGTTATAATCAATGACAGTTACTCAGTTAAAGAAGTATTAACATTGTGATATGGATTGTCTGAAATATGTCGCCCTGTAGCGAAAGCGTTGTTATTTATGATGAAATGTTACAATCTACTTCTGGCGCCTCAACATGCTCAACAGTCAAACCACGCCTTCAAACATCGTGCCTCGTGTTTTGATAATTGAAGATGAATTTCAGTTGACGTGTCGTAGCATTTATCTAACCCTGTTAACAGTTATTTTGTGGCATAAATTATGTTTTTCAAGAAAAACTTTCCTGTACCACTAGATCTATCAGTGTGTGTGTGCTATCGTGTATGTTCTGTCGCACGTCTGATATAGGCCTATTGTGAATAACACCACGCCCATTTAACTTTAGAATGTCAAGAACTGTTTTTGTTGTCACTTGTGGTCTTAAGTAATAGAGTAATTGTTCATACACAATTTTTTGTGTTATTATACAAGAGTATATTCCATGCATCGGACTGTTCTCAATCTCTTAGTCCATAATGTTACTTGTTATGATAGATGACTGATTTGTAGTTGGTACATGATCATCATAATCAACTTTGGCTGGGGGCACCAACTGTGTGATCCAATACGTATCACAATATTTGTTCACGATACTTGCATGTGCTCTTACCATGCTTACCTGCGGTGCGTATGCCATCTTTTTCGTAGGCAGTGTCAAGTACAGTAGAACACGGATATAATGAACATGGATAGAGCGAACAAAGGGATACAACGAAGTGTTAAAACATCAATCTAACGAATATGGCGAACTGATATCTGATCACCGACAAGCCCATCTACCACTAATTAGTGATGTGTATAGCGAATTGAGAAATCTCACTCAGTGTCAAGTGTCACTGACAATTGGCTGTATGCAATCAGCGGCAAATCAACACAATCACTGGTGACGATTCAACCTTGTTAAACTTGCATGCTGTTACTCTTTACATGTCCATGTAATTAGACTGATCTTGTCTGTATATTATTCTGATGAAATAATAATTGCAGATACAATTTCTTCCGACCATTGCATCAAATGTTTTGAAGTTGTATCTTTGGGTACTTTTTAAATGAATCACCGATAGATGCGGGAGGAAACGTGTAAAAACGTGTATCTGTATTGTTTCAGCCAAGATGGCAGACGTTTCCGAGCGAAAACGTATATAACAAACTGATTTCTCCAGTCCCTTGTAGTTTGTTATATCCATGTTCTACTGTATGGCATAATGGAAGAAAATATTTACGTTTTCACTACTAATTTTCACTACTAACAGACCAAGTAGTGTTTGGGGTAACAGTTATTACAGAAAACATTTAAGGTACCCGGTATGTGTCAATAACCAACCTCTGTAATCAACATGGTAATAATGATTTGAAAACGACAAGATATAATTTTCACAAAGTCAATAGTAAAACTGGTAACAAATGGTAGTGTCAGTTTGATAAGGAAATGATCATAGTTTTATTTTTAAGTAGAGGACATATAAACATGGCTAAACAACTAATGCTGGCCTACGCTTTAGTATAGATGTATGCCCATAACACTGTTCACCACCAACTTTTGTGCAGTTTCTCTTACACGTGTCATAAATGTCACTGATCCATTCATTCAGTCTATAAACATGATAAAGGATCTGCCAGCTGGACGATATGAATGCAGTGATGGGAATCATTCAAGCAAGATAATATTGATATACAGTATGTAGATATACAGATCATCTTAAAGGCCATACACTGTTGTAGGTTTGTAGCAACATTAGGCATCGACATAAAACATCCCAAACATTATGCAGGCACAGCTGTAATAGCCATTTGACAAATGCTGGTGATAATAAACTGCATGTGTGGATGTGAGAAGTTGAAAATAATCAATGTTTGGGTTATATAATTCCTGCAGGCTGAAGCTGCCATCTGTGGTTGAGGTGAAATGGGGTTTAACGTCGCGTCCAAGATTATTGCACTTATATAGCGACGTGCATGTACGTATGTGTGTTTGTGTGGCTGCTTGTACTAGTCCGGACTGATGCCGATTTATAGTGCTAGCCCACTGAGATACCATGCCGCAGTTTAACATGAATACCCCACTCAGACACTGATTGATATCATGAGCATCGATCCACGCAATTGGGATCGATGACATGCATCAACCAAGGCAGTAAGTCTGACCACCCGATCCTGTTAGTCGCCTCTTACAACAAGCAACATCGCCTTCTACGGCAAGCATGGCTATTCTAATTTCTACCGGATCTTCACGGGTCTAAAGTAACAATTCTTCTTGCGTAAATGATATGTGTTTAACGTCAGTGAATTCTGAAATCAAGATTATACTATCAGTCTGTGCCAAATGCTTTTGAGTCTACTAACCTGAACATGTGTTTTGGCATTGTTTTTAGTAGATTTTAGTAATGCCATATGGACTAGAATATGCTGATCATAATAAACCAGAGATATTTTTGCTAGATTTGGGCTTTGGGCGAGTGGCTAAAATCCCAGACTGTACCATTTTACATGTACATGGCTGTGTTCATATCCAGGTAGAGAATAGGTCTTCAGCTTCCCATGCTAGCCGTAAAAGGTGACTATGCTTGAAGCAAGATGCGACTGACGTAATTGGGTGGTCAGGCTCGCTGACTTGATGATGCATGTCATTGTATCCCAATTGCATGGATCAATGTTCTTGATATCAATCACTCAATTGTCTGGTCCAGACTCAATTATTTACAGATTGATGTCATATAGCTGGACTATTGCTGAGTGCGGCGTTAAACAAAAAACAGACAAACAAAATATAGCCAGTGATTCTGATATATTCTCAACATGTTGGAATTCATATATATATATATATAAGTGTGATCATGGTTATTACCCCTGTCGGGGCGGTCGGGTAACCTAGTGGTTAAAGCGTTCGCTCGTCGCGCCGAAGACCCGGGTTCGATTCCCCGACATGGGTACAATGTGTGAAGCCCATTTCTGCTGTGCCCCGCCGTGATATTGCTGGAATATTGCTAAAAGCGGCGTAAAACCATACACACTCACTATTACCCCTGTCGGGAATCAGGGTTAGAAAAGGTCCCAAGCTGGTGTCCACTTTGGCCAAATGGATACAGCAGAACTGGCGAGCGGTCTAGCGTGAATTTCGAAGGCTGAATACTCCAATGACTCTGGTGCCGTTCTTAACTTTTCCTGACATGGTGTACAACATGTACAGTATGTCATTCCGTTGTTGTCCTTTGGTGTGATGTTACTGGAATATTACTGAAAACTCCCAGTCAACACAGTTAATAACTTGACTGGGGAGTAAGTATGACTCTCCCGTGGGGACTCTAGATCGGAATTGGTCCGAGCAACCTATGCTGGATGTAAGAGGCTAGGAAATGTACAGTGTTCAGGCTGGGTGGGTTGTATGTCTTCATACCCCAACAGCATGGATTGTTGCTCATAATATCGACCACTAGATTGTCTGGTTCAGACTTGAATATTTGCAGGCCTCTGTCATAAAGCTGAAATATTGCTGAGTGCAGCGTTAAACAAATTAGATTAATAATTAATAACTTATATCTCACATATCAAAGGTCAACATGGGTCAAGGTTGTACTGAAACTCAATTCTTAGATGGATGTTACTTGATCAATACCTCCAGCATTATCTTGCACTCTAAGAGACTGCATCTGCATGTTTAAACTTGGTAGCAAGATTTTGAGTGATAAATATGTAGGGTCAAAGTAAATATCAAAGTTATGAGCATGATGAAATTTGTAGCTTTCTGATAAAGGGGATGATTGTACTGCTTCCATTTTTGCGCAGGATGCAAATACAAATGTACTGTACAAGTTCAATGTGTTATCATCATCATGATGATGGTGATGATATGTGTCGAGTGATAACAAGCTGATAATAGTTGAGTCTCCGATATGGTATGATGATATAAAATGCTGTACGAAGGACGAATCAGCCTTTCGGCAGTGGGCAGCAAGGACACTCACACTGATACTCACATCATGGTCAGGTCTGTAGGTCAAACGATTTATGGAAATCTGATATTTCAAACAGGTCAGGGATGTATCTGTGATGGGCATATTGGAAAAACATCTTTTTGTTCTTATTTTCACTTCAGAGTTACTTTAACATTGTGTTGTAGGGCTGGGACGATATACCACCTGTGCGGTCCGATACGTATCACGATACCTTGCTCACGATCCGATATGTATTACGATCTGTATATGTGCTCGTATCTGTAGTGTAACCCATATTTTTCATAGACAGGATAGTCAAATACCTGGCACAGTGATGATTTACAGTTGGCAGTGTCAAGTATGGCCCAATGGATGAAAATATTTACTTTTTACTACTAATTTTCACAACTAATTAGTGTTTGGTGTAACAGTCATTAAAGTAAACATTTAAGGTATGAATCGATATTTTTAACTTAGTGTGCAACTGTGATCAATCCTTGTATCGGGAAGTAAAATATGGCGATCCACTGATGCATCGTCGTATCGTACCACCACTATTGTATTGTAGCATTGCATTCAAAACAATAATGTAAGTTAAGCTTATCCCTGTTTTTGGTCCTGTTATCAATACAAGTCACATGGACCAAGCCATCACATTAGGTACTACTATATTGGCGCGCAGTAGGAACTGGGATTCCAATTTGGGAATGCTTACTGACAATAGCTGCAGACCTGTGTTTAAAATAATTTCAAAACACAGCAAGACAGTCAGACAGGTGACCCATACTTGTTGCCGACCCATCTTCAACGCTACCTGCCTGCATTCAGACAGTATGAATATTTTAAAAATTGCAAAAAGTAAGAGACAATTCATGTCTTGATGTAGTTGAAATAATGCAAACAATCACTTGAGAATCTACAAGGAGATATAATTAAACTGAAATTGTAAGTAGTCTTCAAATTATCTCTTACATGTTAGACAGTCCGATAGAAAAGTTACCAGCCACGGGCCTGTGGGCAGGCAGTTATTTTGGACACTTAGGGCTGGATATCAGCCCCTTAGCAGGTCAAGATAAAACCCTGCAGGGCTATATTGTACATCCAGCCGTGATATTGCTGGAATATTGCTAAAAGCGGCGTAAAACCATACTCACTCACTCACTATATTGTACATGGCACATTTCAGTATTTAGACTCATTTCAAACCCTGATCTCTTTCATCAACAATCATTTATGAAATGATAATTATTAATTAATGTGAAAAAATATGAAATGAAACCTAAAGATTTCAAGGGAAAAGTAGGAAATATGTTCAGTTCTGTGAACATGATAAACAAGTTAGGAATTAACTTCAGTCAGCACAATATCATGCCAAATCACTGAATATGTTTGTGAATTTTTACTTCATAATGTTTACTTACAGAAAATGGTAATGATAACGGAGAACATAAAACTTTATTAAATTTAAAAGGGCAAGTGAAAATATTGCAGGATGAGTACGAAATACTATCTATTTCTATGTTTCTATGTTTGGCTTGAGATATTTGATGCATGCATGTCGCTGTATAAGTGCAATAATCTCAAGGTGCCATTAAACCCCATCTCACCTCACGTCCACAGAAGCTGGTTAATATTTTAGTACCAGTCGTTGATGTGCACTGATTAGTGTTTGTTCTCACCAGTAGGTGTTAGAACACTGCATTATGCATCCATCAACTCACTCATCAAATGACCTTTTGAAAATTTGATGTTTCAGAAAGTATCTACAGTGTCTACTGCGTTAATGTTAATACCGTATTCCGTAAGGGCCCAGGTCGCTCTCAAAATTAGAAATAGGGGGCTCTTATTAGAATATTATTTTGGTGGGGAAAAAAAGAGTTGAAAGATAAATTTCGTGGTTTATGCTGACGGCCTGACTGTTCATATACAACAGATATATTTTTCCAGAATTTAATTGCCCATAATTAAGGGTGCATATAACACACGAGTGCATATTATTCACGAATAAATAAGTCTTGTGTACATTTATCAATCAGAAGGGGTGCTAATTGGGATTGTTCACTTGCCAATATATTAGCAAATATCGCCGTGGGGCGCTTATTACGTCGAATACAGTAGGTGTTTTCTATCTAGTCATATAGCTTCCGTATCAGTTTGTGTTCCTGGACTGCCAGTACATTGGCTGTATCAGGAGGTGGGTAGCCTAGTGGTTAAAGCGTTCACTCGTCATGCCGAAGACCCGGGTTCAATTCCCCACATGTGTACAATGTGTGAAGCCCATCTCTGGTGTCCCCCGCAATGATATTGCTGGAATATTGCTAAAAGCGATGTAAAACCTCACTCACTCATATGTTGTATCATGTTGCCATGGTTACAGCTTTGGGTAGACTAGTGGTTAAAGTGTGATTATTGGCCGGTTTTGGTTTGATTCCACACATGGATACAATGGTGTCCGCCTCGTGATATAAGCTAGCTCACTCACTCACTCACTCACTCACTCACTCACTCACTCACTCACTCACTCACTCACTCACTCACTCACTCACTCACTCACTCCAAATGTGATGACAAACTAAGTGATCAGTCATGACAGAAATGGGATTCACACATTGTACTCATGTGGAGAAACAAACCAATTTCGGCATGACAATCACACACTGTAACGATATGGCTACCCTGGGGGATGAGCAACCGATTTAACCACAGGCTACCCAGCCAGGCTCATAGTTGAATACAACGGCCCCTCAATCTCCACCATTCTGGATGAGGACCCTTTCACTTTCACAAGGACTCTTTGACTTGGATGCTTTATTTCAAACACTGAAACTCATTGGCCAACAGGGCCAGATATACAGTGATAAACAAATCAGGTATTCTAACCATGCTTACTCAGTTACTCGCATCTGCGGACAGTCAGACGTGAATATTAATTAGCACGTGACTATATGTGCATATGAGTGTATAGATTGTCGGGATCTGGGGTTCAGCAGTATGGGAGTCAGCTTAGAGTGTTGAAAAGTATTCTCAGGTAAAACCCTGCGTTTGAATATTACACAAATAGAATTTTTAAGTCGTCCAAAATATGATACAGTTTCCTTTCTTGTACTTTCATCGTGTTAATTCTGTGATGAATTGACAGAATTTACACTGTTTTAACCACTGGCATCATAGTAACCCTTATGTACATGACAGTAACCATGGTAATACTGAACATGACAGTAACCATGGTAATACTGAACTTGACAGTAACCATGGTAATACTGAACTTGACAGTAACCATGGTAATACTGAACATGACAGTAACCATGGTAATACTGAACTTGACAGTAACCATGGTAATACTGAACTTGACAGTAACCATGGTAATACTGAACATGACAGTAACCATGGTAATACTGAACTTGACAGTAACCATGGTAATACTGAACTTGACAGTTCCCAGGGCAATACTGAATTTGACAGCTACCATGGCAAAACTGAACATGACAGTTCGTTTTTTGCTGTTTAACGTCGCACTCACCAATATTCCAGCTAAATGACAGTTGACTGTAAATTATCGAGTCTGGACCAGACAGTCCAGTGATTGACACCATGAGCAGCGATCTACGCAATTGGGATGCGATGGCATGCATCAACCAAGTCAGTGATCCTGAACACCCGATCCCTTGAGTTGCCTCTTACGACAAGCATAGTCGCCATTTACGGCAAGCATGGGTTGCTGAAGACTTGTTCCCTACCCGGATCTACAGGAGTCGAACTTGACAGTAACCATGGTAATACTGAACTTGACAGTAAATATGGTAATACTGAACTTGACAGTAACCATGGTAATACTTGACATTAAAAGATGGTACTTGCTGTTACCCTGCTTGGCGCTCGGCATTAAAGGGCTAAAACAAGGACTGGTCAGCTTGGAGTCAGTATACTGTGTCTGAGTGGGGTATTCATGTTAAACTGCGGCATTGTAACTCAGTGGGCTAGCACTATAAAATCAGCATTAGTCCAGACTACTCCAAGCATACCAGTACATTTAGAACTTGTGTTGTGTTTCTTGTAACTATTATTTTACTTTTCAGAGAGTAAATGGACATCCAACAGTCTTCGAATATTCCCACAGAATCGGTTGACCCTGATTCCACAGAAATCAAGATGGACGACCACACAGAATTGTGCGTTGGTGATTATTACAAAGGAAGGAAAATATTTGTGACAGGAGCGTCAGGTTTTGTGGGAAAAGTGTTGATCGAGAAACTTTTGAGGTCATGTCCAGAAATAGACAAAATCTACATTCTGATGCGTCCGAAGAAGTCCCAAGACATTCACCAAAGGACAGAGGACCTGATCAAATCTAAAGTAAGTCTAATATATTCAAATTACATACATGAGAAATGGTTAGTACTAGGGCTGGGACGGGTAACTCAGGTACCCGGGTCGGGTGGGTATGGAGTAGAACCCGGGTACCCACTGGAATACCCGGACCAGTGGCTAGTCACGTGATATATTGTTTAATGACAATGATTATGGGGAACTCTATGGTTACACTACAAGTCACTAATGTTCACATTTCTTTCTGACTATGCACCCATTCCTTCTGACTTTTCATATGGTTGAATAAAAATATAACTTAAGTCAACTCCAGCACATGAATGACCAGATCGTTTAATACATGTATCTACATACGTTTAGCAAGTGCTGTGGTAAAAAAGAAAATTCCGAATCGGACATTTTGTATCGCTTGAGACCTACAGCGGGTAGGTATTGCAATTTATTGTGATACAAGTATCTGTATTAAGATATATATTGCGATATATTTGGAGGTAAACTGTTTGACAGTCATTGACACAGATTGTGTATGCAGATCTTATTTTCTTCATACTCCAGTATATATTACACAACATGGTCAATCGCCGCCATTTTGTTGTCATGGATACATGGGAGATAACATGAGAGAAAAGTCACTTCTGCGTTTCTGCCACTTTGCCCATCAATTTCGAAGGGAAACTGTTTGTGAATGAATTTTTGTGTAGATTTTAAGTTGAGGCGATTTATAACAACGAACTTGTTATGGTATATATTTTAGACCCAATATACCAGAACACAAAAAAAACATTGCAATACATATCGTTTGAAAAGCAAATTGCAGTATACCGCTATACCGTGCAGTTCTGCTAATTATTTAATGAATAGATGTTACTATGTAAGTAGTCAGGGCTTGATTTAAACAACTCTATGTATGCTGCATCAGGGGTATATTGACATGGTTGGTTTGTTATTTAATATTCCAGCTATATGACGGCAGTCTGTAAATAATCAAGTCTGGACCAGACAATCCAGTGATTGATATCATGAGCATCGATCCACGCAATTGGGATCGATGACATGCATCAACCAAGTCAGCGAGCCTGACCACCTGATCCCGTTAGTCGCCTTTTACGACAAGCATAGTCACCTTTTACGGCAAGCATGGTTTGCCGAAGACCTATTCTACCCCGGAATCTTCACGGGTCCATATTGACATGGAAAGCTGGTTGCACCAGTCCCATACCTTTATCAAAGTTGAAACACAAGCTGCATAAACTAGTCTAAATATGTCAAATGTCAGACGCCAGATGACTGTCATGTGTCATGAGTTCCACACAACACAGGGATGACTGACATAGTAGTATGCTAAATAAGGCTTAGGGGTACTGAGTGTGGTCAACGCTTGATGATATGTGGAGTAGTAAGTTTGAAAAGAAGACAAAGAAGTCTCCGGTAGTCATTCAAGACCATTTAATAAATGGCAGTCTGTTATTTCATCGTCCTAGGCAAAAGCAAGGCAAGGCACAATGTCAACACACGGACAGCACATGGTTACATGAAAAAGTATGAATCGGGTGTATGTAATTGTTGAACCGGCAACGAAATGGCAGACAGACGAAATTACACCCCACACGACTTGCACACAGCATCAGCAATAGGCGAATAGCCTTACTATTATTATTGTTATTATAATCCCTGTAAATTTATTTTTGGAATTTTTTGGACATGCACTTGATTCATGTAGAAATAAGAAGCAGGTTGCATATTTCAATAATAGGTCGTCACTGGTGCCATGTTTTATAGATGTATAGCTAAATCAAGCCCTGGTACTGGTAGTGATTTTTTTCTAAGTCCCCCACAGCTATAGATAAGCTTTTGGTTATTTGGGTATTTTACCCAGGGGTTTGATTTTGATTGGGGATCCACAAGTTTTAGAGGTATTCAAATTTTGTTTACCCACCTGTTTCTTGACATTTGGGTATTTTAATTTGAAAACCTGTTTTGTAACAATCCCTGTAATTCATTAAAACTATATAAGTAGTAGTTTACCTGACATTACCTGTCTGCATCTGATTGCGGCTCCCTCTCCAGGAAGCCATTTTTGTTTGTAGAACCTAGCATTGTAAGAAAGGCACTATTTCTTTACTCAGCAATCAGCAACTGTTTAAGATACAACATGTACACAGACATCTATCTGTATGTTTGTCGCACAAGCTTTTCCGAATGTAACTGTCGGTAAGTGAATTTTGCGATCGGCTGATACACAATCATTTTATCTAACACTTAGTAACAGTTGTAATAAACGCACAGTAACAGTTGTAATAAACGCAATCGTTTTATCTAATAGTTTTAATATACGTATTAATTTTATTTAATAGTTTATAGTTTTTGTTGCATATTCGATAGGCTAGGATTTGATTTGTCTGCATATTTTAGTTGATTTATTGCATATTTTACACAAATACGCAGCTTATTTCGAGCTCTGAGTTCCCCCTTCTTTGAAATTGTGATGACTGTATGAAAGTTGGATCTTGTCAGCCTGATGTATATAGATACACATGTGACAGTGTGAGTGAGTATGTGGCCTCTCCAGCTCTTGTGCTCCCACTGACAGCTGTCTCTACACGTGGCACTGAAAACAGGCCGAGCAATACTGTTTCACTTTGTCACCCAACACTCTATTGACATACAGTATGGAATCACGATATTGACAACTTATTTATCCTGAAAATCATTTGTTCCACCTAGACCAAATTAAGTAAAAATTATCCTTGATCTATCTTGTGTAGTGTTTCAACAAATATACTAAGGCTTATAAAGGGCCATGTTTTCGGCCGTCATTTCAAGTCCTGTACGTCAGTCATTTTTTTGGCAATAAAAAATATTGTTCAAATTTCCTGAGCCATATGAAGCATGTCATCCATACAATTACATACGAGACAGCTGACATTGTATTAGACAACAGTTCAAACTGTGCCCCGTCATGTTTTTAGGTATTCATGGTGGAAAATATATATGAAGTGTTCACTGAACATTACTTTTGATTACAATATAAAATATTTTCAAATTGTTTGTGATGGGTATTGACCTGACTTTCTTATTGCATATTATTGCAGTCATGATTCGTGTGTTGTGATGGGAAGGGCAATATCTTCTGTTTTTGTTCATCTGTAATTTGTGAGGATCCTGAATATAAGCAACTCTAGTGGACAATATATCACCCTCGCACATTTTTAGAACTTCGTAGTCCACTATTTTTTTGGATATTGTTATGGTTCCAACGCATACGTAATACACATATATATATATATATTCGTGCAAATGGGTTATGGGTTTTTTTTATCACAAGAATCAGTAGCTAATTTCATGATTTCATTTCGACTTGTCACTTATCTGCTTATGTCAACTTTGCCAACAAGTTAAAAATATGCATGATTTTGAGAAACACAATATACCAGCATTTTCCACATGTATCGTAATAAATGTTCATGAACACTTTAAAACATGGAGTACTGGTATGCCTTGCAGCTCTAATGATTGTAGTTGATCAAAATTATCCAAGGGATTGGTAGTGTAGTGTATACTGAAGGGTCCTCGAAAGTGAGGTGTTGTCATTATGACAGCATGTTTACTCCAGAGGAAGATGAACTGGTGATAAGCAGTAGTTTGACACCCACAGGCCTGACCCTTGTGTGACAGTCATGTTCAGGAAAGCCTCTCCTTGCTGACTTCCTGTTGCCACCAAAGCGGGAGAAGTGGTGAAGTAGACAACTATATTCTCCATGTACATCCAACAATGTCAAATAATGTAATCAGGGATGTGAAATCTCCGCGGAAACGCGGAAAATCGCGTTTTTTAAAACAGTAGTCCTCGGGAAAAATCATCTTCCGCGTAAAAATATAATCAAAGATTTAAAAAAACAAAACTCAGAAAAATATAATCGAAAACCGGACAATCGGATTGTCCTGTTTTCGATCAGAGCTTTCAGCAGCATAGGTTTTCGGACATCATGCGTTTTCTATCACGAATAGTTGCACTATATCGTGGGGTGCGGGCGTCACACAGATGGCTTGTTTTTAAGATAAAGTTGTCTTTTAGCCTGTAAGTGAATGAGATGTTTTACAGTTGTTCATGTGATTAGCGAGAAAACTGTGAATGTTTCTTCAGCTTCCAAAAACCCATAACATGGGGATATATGTTGTATAAATGTCTTATGTTTGCAATGGAGTTTTGGTTTTTTCAACAAAAGGTAAGTAAGTACAAGGTAATTTTTTTTCAATATGCTTCAACATGGGGAAAGGGTCAGACATTGCACGCTTGTGACAGTTGTCCTTGTGTCTGGGGGATGGGGGTTGAAGTTTATGGCAGTATTGCTCTCAGACCTGGCGGGTAGCCAGGTGCACGGAAGCTATGCCCGATTTTTTAAAAGTACTGATTTAACTTCGAAATATTACTGCATCTGCCATCTTGTTTGTTTGACTTATTGACTTTGGCCATTGACTTATTACATTTCTTGGTGTGAATGTTGTCCAAACTGCACGAAATTGCTTAAAATGCAATCAAATGTTTAAAAATTTTCTGGGGGGGCATGCCCCCACACCCCCCTAGACTTTTCCTCTTTTTTTTTGGAAAACCTGCTCACATCCCTGTGTAATACAACGATTGTCATTTAGTGATCAATGAAGTGGTGAAGTAGACAACTGTATTCTCCATGTACATCCAACACTGACACATAATGTAATACAACGATTGTCATTTAGTGATCAATGAAGTGGTGAAGTAGACAACTATATTCTCCATGTACATCCAACACTGACACATAATGTAATACAACGATTGTCATTTAGTGATCAGTGAAGTGGTGAAGTAGACAACTATATTCTCCATGTACATCCGACACTGACACATAATGTAATACAACGATTGTCATTTAGTGATCAATGAAGTGGTGAAGTAGACAACTATATTCTCCATGTACATCCAACACTGACACATAATGTAATACAACGATTGTCATTTAGTGATCAGTGAAGTGGTGAAGTAGACAACT